TTTTGAAGTTTTGGGTTCGTTGGAGAAACAGCGGAGGCCTTTCATTTGGTGCGAGGAATCGATCCCACCTCAGAAAGGGAAGAAGGGAAAAAAAGATTCTTAGAGGAATCTCATTCTTCCCAACGGGGGAATTAGGAACTTTGAGTTGGTGTTTTTTGTTAGGGGAATAATCCACTGTCCCTTTCGAGATCGCCCCCTAACTCCTCAGATTCTTGTGTAAATATCGTATGGATCCCATCCGAGTTTAAGTTTAAGTTTTCAGCGTCCTACCGTGTTGTCAATGTCCATATAATTCACAAACTCCTACTTCCCATATGACTCGTTTTCAGTTCCCGTCTACATGTCGATATTTCTATTGTGATTTTTATAAAATAATCCCTAATCTGGTCAGTTGACATACCCCTTACACTGATATAATACTAATAATATTAGCATCTTTAGTTTAATTTTGTTTATTAATTTCAATATTCTTTTATGAATTTTTTTCATTAATATCCGAACACATTTACATAAAACTAAGATGTCCATATTTTTCATCTATACATATATTTAAAACTTCACTACAAACATAGTTGTAACAAAAAAAAATGATGCCCTTAAATCACTCACTTGACCCAAAAGTTCGAGATGAGATAAGTTACTAAAGATATGTTGATTAAATTATTAGTAGACTCCAAAGTTTAGGGGTCTTTTGATAACGTTCTTGTTTTTTGTTTTTGTTTTTTTATTTTAATGAAGAAAAATGTATTGTATGGTTTCAACCTCCAAGAATTCAAGTATGATAAAACAATATTTTTATTTATGTTTTGGAACAAATTGAAAATGAGAACAAGAAAAGAGAAACTTGTTTTTGGTTGTTTCCAAAACTTTTATACAATTGTGAGAATAATGTTCCAAAAAAACAGTATAAACAAGAAACCAAGTTAGTTGTAAAATAGTTAGATTTCTTAAGAAAATTGGAAACAAAAAGCAAGAAACAGAAACGTTACAAAACGAGCCCTTAATGTGATAGATTAAAGGGGGATTTTTAAAAGTGATCTTGACATGCATATCACCATTTTCTAAAATCAATTGTATATGATTGTAAAATATTATTATTTTAAATGGAAGTTATTTCCCAACATGAACCTACCTCAACTTGTTAAAAGATTAGAAGACCGTTACACATATATTCTCAATCGCAAAAATAATAAACGACATTGTAGCGACTCGAAAAGTGTACACCTTATGCATGCTCTAATACTATATAAAATCACCGGTAGCCCCAAAAGTTTAAGCATTCTCAGGTACCGAAACCGTGCGGGGTTTAGCGGTAGGTGCATGCGCCATTCCAACGCCAAGGGCATGGAAGAGAATATGAGAAGGCCATGGTCCGAGTGAGAATTTAGAAGAAGATTCGGAAGGAAGACCAAAAGCACCCAAAACTGGGAGTGTTAGAATTAGAAATACATAGGAGAGGGAGAGAAAGAGGAAGGAAGGAAGGATTATGGAATAAAGGAATCTGTTCTGTTTTGTCTGCTTCAGTAAGTTTGGTACTTATTCAGCCCAAAAAGAAACACAAAAATATACAAATTAAATAAATAGAGAAAAATAAAATAAATAATATATAATTAAATTCTCCAAAATGGGAAGGAAAAAAAACACAAGGCAGCCGGCCCCGTCGAATCCAAAGCCACCCAATGCAACAAGGAACAAGTGGGACCACCTTCAACCAATTAGCCCTTTTTTTCATAATAACAATTTCTTTTTTTTTTCCTTTTTTCCTTTTTTCTTTTTGGGTCACAAATTCATAATTCAGACTCGTGGCTTGCTTGGCCGGCTTTCTAGATTCGCTAGTTCTATTTTATTTTATTTTATTTTTCTGAAAAATGAATCTATACATACATGCACTATAAAAAAAGAAAAAGAAAAGAAAAGAAAAGAAAATCCCCTCTCCCTCTTCTTCATTTTATTCTTGATCTTCATATATCAGTTGTAATTATATATATGATAATGATATAATATGATCATGATGAATGAGATTCTGATCCCTCGGGAATTAAACGCGATGTTTGTAGCTAAATATGCCCTATCTATCATATAATAACTAAACTAAACTAATGGGGTGGTGAAATTTTATTACTAGAGTCATGAGAATTTAATTAATTAGTTTTCATATATAATTAAATATGGTATATAGTTAGAGAATATATTTACATATAGAGTTAAGTTTGGAGGAATCTAAGAATTTTTGGTTTTAGAGTTGAAAAGCAGAGAATTCCTAAACAGTAAGGTGTTGGCATGTGGATAGGGAATATATACATCAAAAGGCCTCACGGATTTGGTGCCCCTTTAATTTGCAACTTACTTCTTTTACTTTCTTACTTGTTTTTCCAAATTTACTTTTAACTCTTTTATATTTCTTTATATCCGTCAACCACCATGGTTTAAACCTATTCGGTACTTCTTTTAAGTTCACAAATCTTGACCGGATTCTATTTTGGACAGGATGCTCGTTTGAGCTTTTCGACCCTAATAGTGTATTAATATTCATGATGTTCAATCTCAAAACCAATTGACAAATGAGAGGAATAATCCATTTATATTATAAATCTTTATTAGGTCCCTTATATTTTCAACGTAGGAATATCCTTGACAATCCATATTCGATATCATTGCTTGATACATCGTTCAAGGCCAGACTTTGAGATGAGCGTGTTCTTCACGACGTCCTCGTCCAACCTTAACGTTCTAGAGTTACTGCATCCAGTAATCTGAGAATAATACGCTAAATAACTAATATTGCATGACTGAATTAGAAGCAAATTGTTACATAAACATACTATGTAACATATAGTCATAGGCATGGGAATGGGATTGGGGCAAAGTTGAGAAAGAAAGTGAGAAATGACCACGGAATGCTATTCGTTGCCTAAAAGTTATGTAAAAATAATAATAATTCAGAAAGAAAAATAAAAATTATATTCCTTCCATGTTAAAAGAGAATGAGAACATCAGAATCCCTATGAACTTCACACCAAAAGATGATCATAAGATATATAATATATAAATAAATAAATAAATATATATATATGGTATATGTTTTATAGGGTCAGATTCTCAAGTCAAGAACTTATACATATTCTTCTCTCGTTAATGCCACAAAAAATGGGTTCCCAGTTCCCACACAACTTTTATCACTTTTCTTTTCAATTTTATTTATTTTTTATTATACTGATTAATTAATTAATCGTTAACATATATCTTTAGCTATGCCTCTTCAGTTTAATTAATAATTAAATTAACCCCTAGCTACCTCCAAATTATATGATTATATTTATATTATATGGTTATATTCCATTTTCTGAAACTCCCAACTGAGTCAACATGTCCTTTTCAGCATATATTCGCATACCATTTTCATATATTAGTTGGCAACCAAACTGATCTCCATCAGAATATATTTCTTATTATATGTATCTATGGAAAGGAAAAAAAATTCTTGTCTTGACTTAATCTGCATCATGCATAAATGATAATGTTGAATGCGTATTTATTTCAAAGTTTAGAACCCCAATTATTAATAGCATTTTAAAAAATCAATCTAGCTTAACGGTAATCTTGAACTATCAAACGCCACTTAAATATTTGTTATAATCGTATAGTATATAGTATTGAGTGTGTTAGTAAGTTGGTACAAGCCCTTCTCCCCTATCATCTTCACCTTTCTACCAAAAGGGGGAAAGGACATATTCTCCAAAAAGACATTTTCTTTCCATTTATAAACAATTTCAAAACTAAACCAAATTTGTCATTTTCTACATACAGTATACACAAACCAATAATAAAAATAAATAAATAAATTAATAAAATCAGTCCAAATGAAGGGTTGATGATTGAGTAACATTTTTGCTTCTTCAAAACAAGTTGTTGTGAGTTGGGCAATTATGGAGTGTTTGATTATGTGAGAAAATATTATATAAATGATTTGAGTCAAAAGAACATATTCCAATTCATGCCATGCATGCACTTCAATTTAAGCATTTTTTTCCACTCCATTTTTATTACCTCTACCATTGGCTATATTTGGTTGCATTTAAATTTTGGTTATAATATCTTTGGAACTTCCACAACAACACATACATGGGGAATAAAGTGATTTTAAATACAACTAAATTTTAGTGTACAACTGATTTCTCTCTTCAAAGATTCTGTTGGGAAGTCAATATATGTTGTTTAAAGATGAGTTTTCATGGGCAATAAGGGGTTATTAATTGCTAACCGTCATGGTGGCTTATTCGCGGCCATCAAAATAATTTAGGAGGAATAAGTTTAAATTTTATGTTGACCACCTACTAAAGAATTCATTTTCTTGGCAGTCATATACAGTAAGGTCAGACATTTGTCCCGTAAAATTAATCGATGTGCATATAAGCTGGCTTGAATACTCACATGGCTATGGCTATAGTTTGATATTTATTTGACAATTTTTTTTTTTTTTTTGTTAGTTCAAGTCCCCACAAAGTCTTATCTTCAATAGGTTGAGGAAACCTAAGCATGATTGGAGTTGTTAGAGGGATGGGGATTGGAAAGAAGAAATATATATATAAGAACATATATACATATTTTTTCCATTCTTTTGAGTTGAAGATGAGGAATAAATTCTTCAGTAACCCCACCTGAACTCAACCCTAGATATTTTTCAAATTATTATTTTGTATTGTTATTAGTTATTTTATTAATGAAAATATTAAATTAATCAAGAATGGAAATATGTTAAAATATTAAATTAAAAGTAAATCAAGAATTATTTTTCCCAAAATAATGACTTTTTTAGCCCATCTCAATTTATCATATACCGAGAAACGAAATGAAAATACGTCAAAATATTTTCATAGGA